CTATTCTATGATTTTGTTTTTATTTTATTTTACTGGTTTTATTATTTTAAGACTAGTATTATTTTAGTAGTTTATTATATCTTATTATTGTTGTTATTATTATGTATTTGTGCAGCACTTTGAAAACTGTTTGTTTGTGAAATGTGCTATAGAAATAAAGTGGATTGGATTGGAAATCAGATTTGAATCAGTACTCAGTTTTCCCACTGTCATGCAAATCCTGCAAAAGTCATGGACATTGAAAATGTCATTTTCCAGTCCTGGAAAAGTCATGGAATTTTGTAAATTCAGTGCAAGTTTTGGAAAAGTCATGGGCCCTGATCTTAGCGCTAGTGTTAGTGTTAAAGAGCACATCTCTTACGTCACAACCCTGAGCTGTCGATGAATGTGCACTGATCCCTGTCAGAGTCCAGCCACTAAACAGCACCGAGCAGTTTTCTACGGTGGTTCTGATGGTAGTTTACCTACTGCCGATTAACTTCATAAACTAATCAAAGAGGCACATTGGGAATAATTTGGGCATGAAATTAAATGGAGCTGATGTCAGAAAGAGTACGAGGATGTGAGGAAATCGACATCGCAGCATTAGGACACAGACAGAGTAAGAAAACACACTTTAGGACATCGCTGTAAACATCCTGTGAATGAGCAGCTTTTGTACTGATCCAGATCAAACCAAACCAACAATCAAGCAGAGCTGAGCCGACACAGGGAGCAGGCGAGGGGCTGTGCTCTGCTGCAGGAGGACGACGCACGAACATCTTGCACAGCACACGGACATATTATGAATGTTAAACATTTATCATCCTAATATATTTCCAAATAAAATAAGTCTTGAGCATGTTACATCTTGTTTTTTAGTGGGCTAGTTTAATATTTGTTTTTATGATTCTGGCAATTCACTGAACGCGCCACACACCACCTTCAGTCTGCTCCACTCCGCCTGATATTCAGCCATGGCACACCTCTTGTTTAGATCTCCAGACCTGCACTTAGATTTGGGGCAAGATCGAGCCCCAAATCTAAGTGTGGGAATTTTAGTATCTCTTTCAAGCAACTACAGCGTTCTGTTAATTTATCATTTGACTATTATGATTATTTCTGAACATATGCACCATTTGTTTAAAAGAGGCAACAATAAATGCACTGACAGTATTTTGAATGTTAAAAACTATACCATACTATACCAAACCAGAAAGGGAGTGGAAAGGGTTAACATGTCATAAAAGTCTGATCAATTCTACATGTAGGTGCCATAAAGTCATGGAAAATTCACTTTAGGTCATGAAAAAGTCATGGAAAAGTTTTGAAATTTTGTGAGAAAGAGTGGGAACCTTGAATACTGGATACTCTTTTGAGCAGGTATCGATACTAAAAAAGTCACATTCACAGGTCAGAAATGAACCGTTCCTGAATGTCTTTAGAATGATCTTGAGTTGTATCAAAACAAGACACAGGCTACGTTCAGACTGCAGCCTGAAGTGACCCAAATCCAATTTTTTGGCCCCTATGTTCCTGTATCTGATCTTTTAAAGACAGTCTGAACGACACAGATCCAATTTTTTCAAATGTGACCCAGGACACTTCGATATGTGGTCCTAAAACCGATACATATCCGATCTTTTGACATTCAGTGTGAACGGCCAAAGCGCATTCATCCGACCTACACGTTATCAACAAGCCACAAACGTCACTATTCTGCACTGAAGTAGGTGAAAATTGTTAATGAACTCTGTGTCACTGAAGTGAAGCACATCACCACTCACCACTCTTGGCTACGTCTCCACATCCACATGTTTCTTTCAACGGACGTCGCTGCCCGCTGTCCCACAAAACACCACAGCCAAAAACCTCGTCCTTCTTCCTTCTCAATCTCCTCCTTAAAAAACAAGAACTTTAAAATCGCCAGTCAATGCTCACATCATGACAACTTCTTGACGTGCTCTCATCGTGTGTGCATGTGGGACACTTTTGGGCCGTTTAATGTTCACACTGGAGTCACATACAAGTCACATTTAAGTGGAAATGTAAATGACCTCACAAAAACATCAGATTTCACAAAAAAATCCAAATTGAGCATTAAGCCCTGCAGTCTGAACGTAGCCATAGACTAGTATATGCCCATGGACCACTATGGAACCTACCTCCATTCCACACTCTTCTCTCTAATTTATGTCTCTCTTTTTACATTTTAATCTTTATGATTATTTATGTTTTGATTTGTTTTTATTGTGATTTTTATGTATTTCTTATTCTTTAAAGCACTTTGAATTACTTTGTGTACGAATTGTGCTGTACAAATAAACTTGCCTTGCTTTGACTTACCTGGACCACTGAGGGATCACACTGATGTAAGACCACATGGGAATATAAAGATGTACTCATTTAATATTGAAAATCACATTATATTGTCTAAAAAAAGTGTTTTTTTGTTTTTTTTTGTGTTTTCTTTTTTTTATCGTAATATCAGTCGGCATTGAGCATCAAGTCTATTTAGTATCAAACCTGACTTTGACATTTTAGTGTCGTGTCAACACTAGAGGGATTCTGAAATGTGATTTTAACCTTTTAACCATTTGCTGTGTTTTCATTTCATATTTCCATGATTCATCTGAGCTCCACAGCTCCACAGCTCCACCTGCCTTTGACTTGTATCACCACACACAGATTCTATTCTATTTCATCATATTCAGCCTTGAACTTCAGACCTGCCCTTTTAAACAAGACCAAGGTCATTTCAATGCGAAGAAAACACAACATGACTAACGCTCAGCTAATGGATAAATATGAAAAGTCTATACAAGGATGTGGCCTTGACTATTTTCTGCTTCACTTAACATAGCGATGGGTTTATAAACGACTGATGTATTTACTGGTGTTCATTTTGTGTGTACAGATACGTCTTACTCAAAGGTTAAAGGGCCCATATTACACTATTTTCTGATCGAGGTTACAATGTCATGGCAAACATACCTGGAGCTGTGTTTTGTTTATTTCATTTACACAAACCCTTCATATTTTACAACCTATAGATAGAGATGCCAAAAAAATGTCAAGTTCAAGTAAAAATAAACAAACTCAAGGGTAAGAAACATGTGGAGCGCTCATATTTCTGCAAAAAAAATAAATAAAAGGCACATTTCCAGGTGGCCATGTTTGTTTTGGTGTGTGTGGGCGCTTCACCTCTGGCGTCCGACCAAACCACAGCGCTGCCCTGTGATAAAAGCAACCAACCTCAACCAAGACATTTACATGCAAATCTGAGCAAATGTCAGATGGATGAAGAAAAAAGAATCCTTATTAAAGTACATGTTTTTGTCATTATTGCTCACGGTTATGTAGAAGTAGTATTACGCAGTCTGTTCATTTCGAATACTCAATGATCAGTTTGTTTGGTTTTAATGAAGAATATTTACAGCCAATTTTCTGTCAGTCACAGCATGTGGTTCAGAGCACATGGGAGACTTTTAGAAATGTGGCTATTTTGGGTTGAAATGCGGTCATTGTTGGACTGTTGTGGCGAAAAAGGAGCTGAGTCCAAAGGCAAAGCTCCTCTCGATCCACGGTCCCTGGTTCAGTCCTGGTTTAGTTCTGGTTCAGATCTCCGTTCTTACTCTCGCCTATTGTCATGAGCTTTGTGTAACGGCCCAAATGGGTGGTTGAAGAGCTGGAGGAAGTGCGTGTGGAGAGGGGAGTGGAAGTAAGTGGAAGGAAATGGATAGGGATGTAACACTAATCAAAATAAAGTGACACTATGTCATCAAAAGTCATCAACATATATCAAATTTTAAGTCTCTGTGCTTAAATTCATAGTCTTAGTGCAGCAGCAACAGAAAAGAGAAAAAAAACTACAAGGAAACTATAAAGGAACTACAGAGACCATAATCCTTTGCTCTGTTTCAGTGCAGACTGTATGAAGAAATAACTTTTAATAAGCGCTTTTAAGTCTTACTTCTTTTGATTATGACAGGACCTAAGACTTGTCGAGGCATTTCAAAAGGAAAAAGTACCATATTCATAATTTGTTCAGCCTCATGAGTAGAGGTGTGCAAAAATATCAAAAATATGAATATATCGTATCATTTAATGTGGTGATACAGTATCGATATCATGAGCTGCTGTGTCGATATATCGCTAAGAGTAATTTTTGGTATATTTTACTAAATTATTTTGTTACAGAGCTGGAGCTTGTTGGTGGAAGGAAACTCATTTATGCGACACATTTGACATTTTCAGTTTTGATGAGTTTGTGTTTTAACCTTAATTTTTTATTGAATCGAATCTTAATCTCACTGTATTGAGATAAGGATCAAATCAAAATCTCACTGTATCGAGACATATATCAAATCGAAAGCTCACTGTATCGAGATATGTATCGAATCAAAATCTCACTGTATCGAGATATGTATCGAATCAAAAGCTCACTGTATCAAAATATGTATCGTATCGTGGCCTATGTATCGTATCAGCAACTTCTTAATGATACCCAGCCTTACTTGTGAGATGTGTATTGTAAAAATATGTAACCCTAAAAATGGATGGATGAATTTTAAAGTGCACTATGTAAGTTTTTGGTGGGGTCCGTCACCTGTTTGTTTCTATGGATATATCATTGATCTGTCTGGAATGTTCCACAGGATGACATTAAACAGTTCTACCTTACATTTATTCGGTTACAGGTGGTTTTATAGCTTAAAAATACCTACAAAAACAGGCATTCTGACTGTGAGTGGGGTCGCCTCTCCACAGATCTGACCTGTAACTTGGTCTGGTTTGGTCTCCATGAAGATAGAAAGGTTTAATGTCCAGACAAAGCAGTTACATTTCCACGGAGACAAACATTTGACGGACCCTCCACCAGAAAAGTTACACAATGCAGCTTTGAGAATGAAGTCTATAAGAAAATAAAAAGTGCTTTGTGTGTTTTACTTATATATTTATTCCTCAGTTCTATGTAGCAGTACACGTGTAACTCACATGTTTGGTGATTTGTGTTTCAGACGGACTGCTCCAGTGACAGTGAGAGCGAGGACAACTTCATCGTGGTCCCTCCCAGAGACCACCTGGGCCTGGCCATCTTCTCCATGCTCTGCTGCTTCTGGCCCTTAGGCATCGCCGCCTTCTACTTCTCACAGGGGGTAAGAGCAACAAACACGTCACCACGGCAACGCAACGCAACCACAACACACGCTCCTGGTACAAAGTGTAGGTGACTCAACTCTGTCACACGTGAATGGAGCTGCTTCTGTCTAGGGATAAATAACAAGGAAAAAAAAAAAAAAAAAAAAAAAAACGGCACCTGCTTCTACTGGTCACATTTTAAGACATGAATAAAAAGCTTTACCATGTTTAAAGATGCATTGCGTAACTTTTCTGGTGGAGGGTCTTCGTGGAGATGTTATTGCTTGGAATGATTCACAGTATGTTATTAAACCTTTCTATCTTCATGGAGACCAAACCAGACAAAGTCACAGGTCAGATCTGCGGAGAGGCGACTCCGCTCACAGTCAGAATGTCTGTTTTTCGAGATAGTTTTGAGCTGTGAAACCAAAAACTGTAACTGAATAAGTGTAAGGTAGAGCTGTTTAATGTCAAACTGTGGAACATTCAAGCAGAGCAATGACATAACCATAGAAACAAGCAGGTGACAAACCCCCAAAAAGTTACATAGTGCACCTTTAAGATTGTCCATAGCTGCTTTTACAGTGTACTCTATGTGGGACTACACAAAATAAAGTCTGCAGACAAATAAACAAGCACTAAAGAGAGGATATTATTCTTTTACGGGGTATTAACTGCCAACACACAGCATATTTAGATCACCATGTTCCCTTTTATTGTTTTGAAAATGCTATATCCACAGAAAACAACATATTCACATTTTGGGAACGATGTTATAACATGATAGAAAGTTAACAAAAAAAAAAAAGAAAAATGAAAAGTGAGGTCTACAGTTATTGCAGTTATTTCTCAAATAAATGGCACATTGTGTATCTTAGTCGGCGTAATTGTGCATTATTTGCTATTTTTATTTGAAAGGTTTATTTCAGTCCAAATGTACAAATCCAAATGTAATAAACACCATCTAAATGCAGGAAGTGATGTTGCTTTGTGCCCTGGACCTGACACCAGCTGTTTTTTTTGTTTTGTTTTGTTTTTGTTTTGAAGCTATAAGGATATGTTTAGTTTATTTACAGACTTGGCATTTTGCACTTTTGTAACTAAGGCCCTAAATTAAGCATTATTTATTGTGTGTTTTGTTTGAAAGAGTGTGAATTTTATTTTCCGTTTTCTTTTTTCGTTTGTAATTCTGGTCCTGTAGCTTTTATTACAGCCAGATGACACAACTACAGCATGTAGACTGTGAAATAACAGGCTGTACTGAAAAATAATGGCAAAATTAAGAAAAAAATCTAGATGAGGATAGATGGGGTCTGGAAGGGTTCAGATGTATGAAGAATCCCTCGTCGTCCAGGTAGAATCCATATTGCAAAGGAGAAATAAAATGTTTCATCTGGACAAACATTTTTTTCTAGGTTGAAAACATTTTGCAGCTCATCCAAGCTGCTTCTTCAGTTCTGGTCAGAATGTCAGGGTTGTCTTTGGGGGAATTAAAGTGGCTATTTTTGTTTGGAAAGACAACCCTTCCTTGAACTGAAATGGAGGGCTCAGACATCATCTGTCTCCCGTGTACAACTCCATCCTCAAACCGAAAACGAAGAGAACCATAGAGGTATCCAGGTCAGGACCATGAGTGCGAAAACCTTGAATGATGATTCTAATATGTCTACTCACTCAGGACAGATTAATAGGCTTAGCTAACAAACAGAAAGTATAAACAAATAAGGTGTTAGTTTCAGAGTAGTTTCAGTGTAGTTAGTTCCTCCCTGCAGGCAGACATATGGAAGTGTCCACCAGCATCTGACCAGAACTGAAGACGCTGAAAAACATTTTCAACCTAAATAAACATTTGTCCAGGTGACAAATTGAATTTCTCCTTTGCCACCCCCTCTTTAACTTGTTTTGTAAAATGTCAGCACCATGGACAGCTCACCCAGACAGCCAAACTTACAGGCCAAAGCTTTTTTATGTCACTTTTTGTCACTTGTTTTTTCCCACCTTTCGTTGACACAGGCAAACAAAAGATTGATGTAAGAAAAAGTGAAGGAAAGAATCTTGTTGCTTGTCTATGAATTTCAGAACCTTGGACAGCTCTGTTTGTGGTGCTGAAATGAACAGCTAAACATACAGCGATACACAAACTCAGCCTTCCGTATGTCATTCTGTTTAACTGGCCTGTTTACTCTTATTGTTAATGTTTAATTAGCAAAAACTCACAGCGCACTATCTTTCATAACCTGGAAATTTACTAGTATACAAATACACCCACTTACACAAGTCTGCACACAATGCCTGCCTCAGTATTTTTAAATCAATAGTTTCTTATTTTTCTGCTTCACAAACTCTGAAATAATACATAATAATTTCGAGGCTGTTGCATAAAAACTCTGAGAGAAATCTATTATCCAGTATAACGTATTTATCTCTTTTAAAATGTTACTTTTTAAACAGGAGGTATTATGCAAAATTGACTTTTTTGTGCTTTCTGTCTCATTAAAACCATGCCTGAGGTTTTAGTTGTCATCCATGTATGTCTGAGTAATTTAGTGATCTCTCCTGGGCCCTATTTGAACCCTTCTTATGGTTATTTGTAAGATTCTGTCCAGTGCTCAGCCCACAAGCCTGTCACATATCACAACAATTGTTCATAAATATTCAAAAGAATGATACTAGAGAATGTAACGATATCCAGATCTCTCGGCACAATATTATCACGATATGCATCTCACAGTACGATATTTATTGCGATATTTTGGAGAGACTATTATAATTGTAGAGAGAACACTTTTTTTGCTTTTACCTTGACAAGATTTTGGTGTGAATTATTTCTGTCATAATCCCAAGAATTCAAGTAAAAAACATTTCTTTTCATGCTGTTTGCACTGAAATGAATCATGGGATATGTAGTTCCCTATATTTATAAGCTGTTGCTATTATAAAACCATACATTTAAGCAAAGGAACTTGTGACTCGATATATTGTGACAGGCCACAACCCGTGTATCATTTGTTCATTTGTTTTTCAATATAAAACCAAAATTAAGAAAAAGAAAAAAATAACTGTTTTCTTCATTATTTGTCTCCAAAACCAAAATGAAAAAAAAGGATAACGATTAGTTTTTTTCAGTTTTCGATTTTGTGTTTAAATGAATAAAAAAAAAAAAAAAAAAAAAAAAAAAAAAAAAGGGATAATGGCCATTTCCTGCTTTTGTGACTTAAACTACAATGCCGGACTGAACCAGGACTAAACCGAGACTAAACCAAGACTAAACCAGGTCCAGGACCAGACCAGAACCAGGTCGGGACTGAAACCAGGACTGAGTCCAGAACCAGGACTGAGATTGGGACTGAGACCGGGACTGAGACTGGGACCAGACCAGAACTGAGACCAGAACTGAGACCAGAACTGAGACCAGAACTGAGACCGGGACTGTCTCCGGGACTGATACCGGGACTGAGACCGGGACTGAGACCGGGACTGAGACCGGGAACAGGACCAGGACCAAGACCAGGACTGAGACTGGGACCAGACCGGGATTGAGACCGGGACCAGACCGGTTATTGTTACACCTGATGCAATGTGCAGTAGATTGATTGTGCTGTGATAGCACTCTGAAGGGAGAGTGACTTAGTGTAGAGAGCAAGGAGATTGGGGTGTCAAAAATGTAAAATTAAACTTTATTAAACATGTTATTACATAGTTTTTGGTGAATATAGCATTTTCAAAACTATAAAAGGTAACATGGAGATCTAAATCTGTTATGTGTTAGCGGTTAATACCACACAGAAGTGTAAAAGTCCCTCTTTAATTTGTGTATCATTAAACTAAAGAGCCACTTCAGTATCAAAGTTTGTTTTTGCTTTTTCATACTGCGTCAAACAGTGACTCAGAACACTTCAGTGCTCAGGATGTATTCATTTATGCGGCGTGAACGGTCTCATCTGTGCAAGTCGATCTCGTCTTTCCAGTAGATCAACTCTATTTACTAAACAAGAGCTCAAAGCTGCACTGTGTAACTTTCCTGGAGGAGGGTTTTAGAATGTTCCACAGATTGGCTTTAAAATTACAGGTCAGATCTGGAGACAGGCAACCCCAATCCCATTTTTTGTTTTTTTTGTTTTTTTGACCTTTTTCTTTTTTCTATTATAGGATCATTAATACAGTATTTACAACTGTTAATAGCTGTGGTATGTTAATAAATTCGGTATTCAATATTGAGACAATAGAATGTGATTAAATTGTAGTACTTTTTATATTACCATGTGGTCTTATATCTGTGTAATCTGTCAGTGGTCCAGTACAGCTCAAGATCGTTCTCAAGCTACTTCAGAAAGCTTCATTTCTGTCCTATGAATACGGCTTTTTTAGATTTGATATTTGCTCAAATGAGGATTTAGTTTCAGTATTGATTAGTATCTGATTTTTGATATAGTAGCAGTCTTATTTTAGTACTTTAAACTCATGGTTAAAGGGACAATCCGGAATTTTGGACATAGGACCTCATTTCCTAGTGAGCCAGAGTGTTTTGGAGACGTGTGGAGACAATTAAATACATTAAATATTCCATCCAGTCCTTGTATTTGCAGAGGTCGCTGGTGCTAGGCTAGTGCATGTCAATGGCCATAGTTATCCTGCCACTAAAAACAGTCTTACCCACTCCACAAAACACCCGAAGCAAATCTATTATTACACCAGACTGTCCATGTGAATGTCTGTGTTGATAGAATAATTTTAGAAGTAAAACCAACCTTGCATTTGAAGGATTTATGTCTGAGCAGCAGCAGTGAGTTGTACTTCCTGACAGAAAATATGAGAAAATAGTCCCTCAACATGTGACGATTCATGTGATGCAAGGTTAGTTTTATTTCAAACATTATTCTATCGACACAGACATTCACATCGACAGTCTGGTGTAATGACATGCACTAGCCTAGACCCAGTGACCTCTGCAAATACAAGGACTGGATGGAATATTTAAAAAAGTGTCTCCACACGTCTCCAACACTCTGACTCACTA